GTGTTTCGGGTTTTAAAATCTATTTTGTCTCCTTTTTGGTTTTGGACTTGGTTATTTCGTCTAGTATTTTTTTCTACACATATAAATAGTAATTAAACACCATTTTTAGAGGAGTTTTTGCCACCGGAGGCAAGAACATTACTTGGAACAACTTTTGGAGAAGAAAATCACCGAGTTCTTCATTCCTTTATCTTTTCTTTGTAATTTATTTATGCAAAATACTTGAAAAATTGTTACTACGAACATTAGTGGCTAAGTACTCTGTTTTTAGGGTTGTGGTTGACATGATTATTAATGTTTATTAATTACATCTTCGTTAATTTGGATTATCATCTTGTGGTTGTTTCTTTAATTCTAGATTTAACTTTTGAATTGTTGTAGCTACCAATTTACCATACTATCTATGCTATGCTTGGGAAAGCCATATTTAGATTAGGATAGAATTAGAGAGAGCTTGTTTCTGAACCCGTGGCTCGGGGAAAAATTTCGCGGTTAGGATAGGAATACACCTAACAGTCTTGCTTAATTGAATACCGTATTATATTCGTTCATGATAGACTCAATATCATAGGAATATAGGGTTGATATATTAAGGACAGGCGAGTAGTATTGTGGGAACATGCTATTCATATAAACGATCTGGTTAATTAGCAACCATAAATAATCTGGATTAATGAGTGTGATTATTGAACTTAATAGGATTGATAAACCAACCACAACCCTGGAATTTTTATCTCTTCTGAAATAAAATCTCACCATACACATTTGCATTATTGATAAGTTAGTTGTTACTTGTTTAATTTTCGCAATAGTAGATTAATAGAAAAACATCACTCTTGATTATGGACAATTAATTGATTTTAGTTTGCTTAGTTGTCAATTGATCTAAGTCTCTATGGGTTCGACATCCGACTTTCGGGTCACTTTATTACTTGACGACCACATATACTTGCGTGTACTCGGGGAACCAACAAAGAGCAATGTTGACCCCCTGAATATTGACCACCTACACTAGTTACATTGTTGGCATATGTGTTGGTATAAGTATTTGGAGGTCCTCCTTTCTTCTTAGGTTTAAAACATGTTGGATAACCATGCAATTTGAAGCAATTTTCCATGGTGCGTCCCTTGTAGTTACAATAGTCACATTGGACCAATGCCTTACCAGAATTATTCTTTTATCTGTAACCTCCTACTGAAGTTTTGTTGCTCAGCCTTGTTGTAGGGTCAGTAACTTCAGCACAAATACCAACAGTGATTCTAGCACCATTGTTTCTCTGACTTTCAAAATTAATAATCATGGCATATGCCTGATTGATGTTAGGTAATGGATGAGTCATAAGAACTTGATCCTTAGCATGTTCAAATGATTCATTAAACCTGTCAAAAATGGTATAATTTTTATGTCTGATAATGTTCAGCATGTCGTCTAGACTCAGGACAACCACAAGAGGGTAGAGGTGCTAGGGCCTCGTACTCATCCCACAATTCTCTAAGTCTGGAGAAGTACACGGATATAGATGACACACCTTGAGTCAAAGTAGCAATTTCCTTGTAAAGATAGCAGCTTTTAGAGGCGTTGACTTTATCAAACCTTTCCTTAAGATCTTCCCACACCTTGTGTGCATTAGATGCATAAATCACAGTACTAATGAGATTTGGTGAAACAATATTCATAATCCAAGCTAGAACAATTGCATTACATATATCCCACAGTTTGTGTAGACTATGATCATACATTTCCCTCCTACAGGTACCGAGAACAAAGCCTAGCTTATTTTTGCCATGCAATATAATTTTCATAGATCTACTCTAAATTGAATAATTTTTAGATCCTAAAGTTGAATAGAGATTAGTACCGAACTTTGTGTATCTGATGGATAAATGTATAAAGGATGATTGTGATGAATTAGATCCATGTCATGAAGATTTGAGGCTGGAGCTATAGTACCCTGAGCAACAGAGGCGGAATCATCTTACTCAATTGCCATTATGTTTCTTCAGAAAACTTAGCTAGGTTACTGATTTGGAACCACAACAAGCAATTAGAGATGAATTTTACAGTAATTTGTCGAAATTCAACTGAAATTAACAAGTCCTAGAAACCCTAGGTTACAGAGGAACTTTTCCAGATGAAGAAATAGCTTGATCTAAGAACAAATACACTTCTCTAATACTCCTCCGTAGTAGCTGAGCTGATCAATTTACCAAAGCTCTGATACCATGTTGATTAGCTCAGCCATGGTGAATGAGAGAGTGAGAGAGAGAGTTTCAGAGAAGATTGAGAGAGAAACATCTCCATTGATAAGCTCTGATGTACAGAGACAAATGAAAATAAATCTCTGTGTATTTACAAACTCTTTTCTCTTTTATATACTAACTGACTGACAATGACATATTAACTAATTCAACTAACTTATCTCTACTTAACTTAACACCTAACTGATAGTTGTACATTGCTAAGTGACAACAGTATCACCACTAACTTCTACACTCTTTACCTTATACAAGTTAGGGGTAAGGTCTGGTACACTCAGTCGTCCCCAAATTTTATTTGTTGGATCACACTAGGTATGTTGTTGTTGTTGTTGTTGTTGTTATTGTTGTTGTTGTTGTTGTTGTTTTCTCGTCTTTTTGCGCAAATGTTGTTTTGGCATTGAATAAATGAAAATTGATCTTTGTATAAGTCTTTTGAAGATATATGTATACATGACTAGATGATACGTCATGAAATTATGATAAGCAAGTCTACAATGATATGATTAGCTATAACCATCTCCGCCACACTTTAACGAAAAAATGAAAGACATAACTTGGAATTTCAAGAACTTCCTTACTATAAGAAAACGGAAACTAAGCATTCTGTTCCAAGAAAAAATGGAATATTTCTGGGAGAACTTCAGGAATTCACGTCGTTTAACTCAAGTATATTTAGTGGACAATTTCCTATTTACAAGATCAACTTACTAGCACTTTCTTGGTTGTAGCCCTGAATTATATATTTGGAGGTTAATTGCCACCTCTTGCATCTTTACTATGACTTTGTCCCTATCTAAGGCATGTTCAATGCGAGCCACACTTTTCATCTTTCTTTTTTAGGAAACCTCTACTTGCAAAGCTTTTTCTGCTCATTCATGTTACATCTTATACTGTTTTTCTAGTTTCTTCTTCCATCTTTCTTCATGGGCTCGCAAAGTGATAGTAAGTTAATCTTGCAAATAATATATTGTCCACTAAAGATTCCTTGTTTTAACTTTTTGTTATCCTCCTTTCGTGTAAGTTTCTTGTTTTAACATTTTGATAGAGTGAAGTAACTGTAGTCATCTCTTTTTTATCATGACCAAGAGAGCATTAGGCCATACTTTTTAACCCCCTTAATTTGGTTATTTATCATGTATTCTATTTTTATTCCATACTCTTCTAGTATGGAATGAAAATTCAACAGTTTTAGGTTCTTTCTGATCTCTGTTTTCTTGCTTAAGTTTAATTTCTGTGAATTGATAGTGTACAATAATTTTTGAACTTTCAGGTTACCTAGACTATAACTACAAGTACCATCCATAAATAGCGAGATAAGTAACATAGAATATAAGGTAGGTTATATGCTAGAACAAGTTAAAATACATTGATAGACAGGTTTAGCAACTTATTTGCACGATCAAACTTTCGAGTTGCAACCATTTCAGTAGAAGCTTGAAGTAGTATAGCGAGGCATCCTCTGCTAGTTCAGGAGACATGCCAGAATCTGCTGTATTAGGATTAAACATGACTGAGTAAACATCAGATTTCTTTGACATATAATAGAGTAATTTCTTTTATTATGGAAGGAACAAAAGCCATGTTTCTCCAATACCTTTTTGAAATGATACCCTATAGTATCCCATGTACACATTTCTCAAGTAAAATATTTGCCTTGTCAAAACATATATGGTGCAGGTAGAACCATTTTTAGTTCACTTCAGACTTTCTTGTTAATTGTACGAGGGAAATATTAGGGACCTCCTATACTTGATAACTCTTATTTAGTTCCCCTTTTACTATATGGGGTCCTAAATACCCCCTTCACTTGATTTTTCATCTTTAAATTGCCCTTTTATGCTGACCTGGCATAAGAATTAGATACAAATTCAGTTGGGCATGTGGAACAAAAATTTTAACCCAAATGTGATTGTTCCAACGACTCTTTCTCTCTCTTTTTCCTATATATTCTCTTCTATACCCCTTCCTCCATTAAAGAACATTTGTTGTGTCTTTCCTTCTTCATGCCATCAACTTTCTAAGTATTCTTCCAATTTCACTTCATGGATTCGAAGCGAAAGATATTTTGTGCGTGTGGGTATCCTTCAGTATTGAAAATTTCATGGTCGAAGGACAACCCCATGCGTAGATTCTTCGGTTGTAAGTACTATGGGGTAGGTTAATTTCTGAAATTTTGAATGGGTTGTATTTTGTTTGATTTTTCTTAAGTTATGATTTTGTTTATTCTGATTCCACACAGTCTAAATGGCGAAGTCCATGTGAATATTTCAAGTGGTATGACCCTCAATTCCCTCGGCAAGCAAATGTTGTGATATTGAGTTTGCTAAAGAAGAGCAACAATCAATAAAAATAATTGAAGTGGAAGAAAGTCTTGAAGCTAATATTGTGTTTTAGCTTGTTATGCAATATAATAATGTATTTGGGTTTTTGTCTATAATCTTGTTAACAAAATATCAAAAGATGTATTTGTGTTTTAGTTCGATCAATGTAGTTTCCAGTTGTATTTTAGTTCGATGATTGTACTCATCAGAAGCTCTATTTGTGTTATTCAATGTATTGTCTCTATGAAACAATATATATGGTGGCAGATATGTTCCAAATTCTTGCTGTTTCAGTTGCTCTCTCTTTATTGGTTCAATTAGTTCATACAACATAGACTATCCTGCCATTTCATAGTGTACAAAGACGAAAATAACTGGAGACATTCATAATGAATCATTACTCAAAATAACTGGAATTCGTTAACTGTTAAATGTTCTTCATCAGCATTCAAAGAGCAACAATATAGTGAGTACCAGTTTCAACTGCTGCTTTAAATACATTCCAAAACACAATACCAGTTTCAAAAGATATGATTGCCAACACAATAGCAGTTTCAAAAGATACAACTGCCAATAACACAATACCAGTTTCAAAGATACCACAACAAAAGTTAAGACTGCCAACAAAAACATATTTAAGATGGGATCTTGGAGGGAGATTTTCCCTTGACTTCTGCCCTTGTTTGAATTCTAGCTACCCTTGATCTAGTAGTGATGCGATGTTGTGCACTTTGGACTTGGAGTTGTCTTTGAGTTATAGTTATCTTGCCTTTCCATTTAAGCCCTTTGGTTGGTTGGTGACCAATGTTACCAGTCACATGTGCTGAATTGATCACAGCAACAGATGGAGTTTTACTTGTTCTGCTGCTAGGCGACCCTTGCTGAAAAAGGCATAAACACTTACATTAGCACAAGCTATTGTTCTGCCTAACAAAAATACTGAACTTAAAAATTTAAGACACTTACATTAATACTAGTATATCCACTTTGCGAAACAAATACACCATGTCCCACAACCCTTGGTTTCTTGTAACCATTTATGGCCTCTTTACCTTTACTGCTTGCACCATAATCACTTTTATTTCTCTTCTTTGGATTAACAGTTGAGGATTAGTGTGATTCAGCAAACTAGTACATAAAACATAACTACAATTAGTGAGCTATATGAATTACCAGGGGCATAAATAACTTAAAAGTTAATATTTTACCAGCAAACTATATCAATCTCTGTCATTCAAGAACAAAGAACATGTAGTTAGAAACATAATAATAGTAATAAAATGCACATTCAATATAAAACTACAATAGATAAAGACTTACCTTTTGCATGTCACTAATGATAGTGATCTGTGAATCATCTCCCAAGTGAATGTCTTCTTGCAAAATCTTAAGGAACTATCTCCGTGTCTCTTTTTTTCCTGGGTAACTACTGCCCACACCACTGGAAACATTTGGTTGTTTCCATCTTTGGCAACATCTACTAGGAGCTGACCCTTGCAAATTCCCTTAAGAAAGCACCCATCCAGACCTATACATTTTCTATAACCCTGCTAGAATCCCCTTTTCATAGCATCAAAGCAAATGTAGAAAGAGTTGAACTGTTTCTTCCCATCTTCTGTATCTATCAACTTAACCACACATGTGCTAGATAACCACCACCTTTTCCCTTCTTACTTTTTTTGCCCCTCCTATTTGTTTCTTGAATTGCTTCACATCTTGCTTCAGAATCCTTAACTCCTCATGCACGTCACTTCCATAATCTATAGACTGGTCAGATTCAGCACCATCACCATCATTTCCTGCAATATCATCTTCGGATTCTTCTTCACTACCTGCAGATTGTTGTACAATAGCTAGGTATTGTGCAGTGTGCTCTACAATAGCCAGGTCTTGTGCAGCTTCTTCTTCACATGTATCTGTCCAGTATATTGAAGAATACCCATATGCATTCACATCTACATCTTGTTCACCCACCCCAACATTTAAAGCAACAGTAGATGGAGCAAGAAGACAATTAGATTCCCTGCTGCCTCTTTCAATCCTGACAAATGCATTAAAAGGCTCACCCACTATACTTAAATTGGCATCTATACTTATTATTTGACTACCAAACAAACCAGTAGGACCCCCTTCCTCTATAATTTTGTCTCCACCCACATAAATGTCTATTTTGTCCCCATCATACAACAATAGTGAAAGGCCATATATCTACCTATCATTTTTCAATTCAACCAAATTACCCCCTTAGATGGAACCACAAAGGTCTTTCCTAACTTAGTAATTTCAAATCTCCTAGCATAATCTACCGGTTCAGGAATTGACAAATGATCCTCATCAACATTGAAAACATGTTCTGTCCTACCCCCAATATAAACATGCCCCACCTCACTCACCATCACCCCTCCAATTTTCCACCTTAGGTTAAAATATTTTGAAGCCATAGATTACCCTACATCCACAAACAATAACACAAGAGGATTTTACAGAAAAGCCCCAACTTAAAAAAATACAACCCGATAATGTGAAACAAATATAAAGCTATGTGTAAGAAAAGAACCAACTTTTAACAATAAAAAAGCACAAGCCGATAATTAGAAACACAAAAATAAAGTATTTACCAAAGAATCCCCAATTTTTAACAGTAAAAAAGCACAAGACGACAATTTCATATACATATAAAGTATTTAACAGAAAAAGCCCTATATTTTGAGGTTGTTACGAAAATATCTATTAGCCCTGCATGCATGAGATGTAGAAATTCATTCTAAGTACCTTCAATTTAAAAAGCCCTAAGTCATTGTTTCTACAATTGAAACCCTAATTGATACCCTAATTTGTACAACAAATATCAAAACCGGGTAAAATGCACCAGAAAATTAAACCATTTTCTGTAAAGAACTACTTACCTAATTGGAATTTCAGACAACAATCTTCCTTGTGACAGAGATTAAAAGCTATCGATGTTCGTCGGTTGAAGCAAACCCCAACAAAGTAGGTTCTTCCACGATATAAAGAAGTGGATATTATTTCTGTAAGCATGAAACATCAACATCCAGAGAAGAAACATTGATACATTCACAAGACTATTACATTGATATAGTTGAGATTATCCTTTTTTGAGCTGGGACATTGATTCATCTTGCTTGTTTATAAATTATTCTCTACTCAATTTGGTTTGTATTTCATTCCTTTATACAGTCAATATTCGATATATTTCTACTTACTTTTCCGATTTGTACTAAGTTATACCACGTATTCTTAGAACTACGAATAAATTCAACTCTATCCGTATTTCGGGTAAACAGTTTGGTGCCCACCGTGGGACTAAGGATAATAGTGGTTATTTGGTACGAATCTCTATGAAACACACTATTTTACACTTGCTCTTGGAAGTGTCTTTGATTTCAGGCTGAAAATAACGAATTCTCAATTAATGGCCTTACCTATCGACAACGAAGTTGTCCTTCAAGATGAAAACAACAACTTAATGCCCGGGGGTGAAAGTCCACTTGTCGATCCCATTCGAGATCGGGTCGAGGAACCAATAGACGTTAACGCATATGTGGACATCGAGGCAAACCAACGTTCCGACCCTGAAAATAGCATTCATGGTGGAACTCGATCTGCAGCTCGAAATACCCAAAACGCTGAGGAAAAAGGAATCAACTTACGTATGATTTTCGAAATGTTGCAAGCTCAACAAGTAGCAATAGCCCAGTTGCAGAGCCAAACCCAGGCACCGACCAGGCTCGAGCCCAATCTACCCCAATAAGTCACCCACAAAACGTGGCTAGCTGTAGTGAGGTCAAATGAGCAAGAATCGGGGACTAATCCCGAAATTGTTAAGATGCTCGAGGAACTAACAAAACAAATAGAGTCAGGGGAAAGGAGGATTGACGCAAATGGAAAAAAAAGTGGAAACGTATAACTCTAGGGTTGATCAAATCCTAGGTGCACCACCGATATTGAAATACTTGGATTCCAAAAATTTTGTACAAAAGCCTTTCCCCCCGAATGCAGCTCCGAAACTGATCCCCAAGAAGTTTCACAAGCCCGAAATTCCTAAGTATAATGGAACGACCGACCCCAACGAATACGTCACCTCTTACATATGTGCCATTAAAGGTAACGATCTAGAGGACGACGAGATCGAATCTGTATTATTGAAAAAATTCGGTGAAACCCTGTCAAAGAGAGCAATGATATAGTATCATAATTTACCGTCTAACTCTATCGATTCTTTTGCTATGCTTGTAGATTCTTTCGTTAAAGCACACGATGGAGCCATAAAGGGCGAAACCAGGAAGTCGGACCTTTTCAAGGTAAGACAAAAGGATAACGAGATGCTGAGAGAATTCGTATCTCGTTTCCAAATGGAACGAATGGACCTACCACCAGTCACAGACGATTGGGCTATTCAAGCTTTCACTCAGGGTCTAAACGAACGAAGCTCGATAGCTTCACGACGGTTGAAGCAGAACCTGATCGAGTACCCAGCTGTTACCTGGGCCGATGTTCACATTCGGTATCAATCGAAGATTAGAGTCGAAGACGACCAGTTGGGTTCTGGGTTCGTTATTAAAAGGGACATGAACAGAGAACAAAGGACAATCAAGGACTGATACCGACCGTATAGTGGACATTATAGGGGTAACAAACCAAGACGTAACCTCATACAAAGCAATAAAAGAAGAGATCGATGCCAAGGGTCTCGGGGGCTGATAAACAAGAATGGGTTCGACAAGCATACTGGACCTAAGGAAGCACCGCAGTTATCGGAATATAACTTCAACATCGATGCATCCGCCATCATGTCGGCTAGCGGACGCATCAAAGATACTAAATGGCCTCGACCTCTGCAGACCGATCCAACCCAGAGGAATCCCAATCAAATATGAGAATATCATGGCACTAGACCTAAAAACGCCACTTTGGAGTACTTTTGCAACCGGAGGCAAGAATAGCTTGTGGAATCACCCGTTGGGTGTTAGAATCATCGATTTCTACATCCTTTCATCTTTACTCTGTACTTTAATTATGCAAAATATTTGGGATATTGTTACTATGAGTATGAGTAGCTAAATTCCTAATCTAGGATTTTGATGGAACCTATTGAATGATGATTTTCTTATTACATTAATATAAATTTGCCATAGTATTTTCTCTATTTGTTCAACTATATTATTCATGTGATTGATTGAAGGGCCCTCAATTAGCTGTGCCTATTTAGTATGTATTACTCGGGAGAGAGTGCATATTTAGGTAGTTGTTGAACAACATCACTCCTAATGTATATGAGGAATCAATACGAAGGGTTTAAAGGTGGGATTAGGGATAACGAAACCTTGATGCGATCTGAGTGAGTCGTACTTAATGCCAGCTAGCGTAATTCGGGAGAATATGTCTAGTAAATTATCGTAATTACTCGGGAGAGAGTTACGACACTCAAAGCGCTCATGATCGGTAGAGAAGACTTAGGCGAATTTATAAAAAACATAGCGGAAAAGATTTCGACAATAGGGAAAATCACAAATTTAGATCTTTCCAATTTTTGTTTACAAACCGTTCGTAGTTAGTCATTTGTTAGTGCATTTTCATTACGTAATATTTAGTTAATAAACATCCAAATTATTATTCACATATTTCTGAAGATTGATTGCGTGAATTTATGCGGATCTAGCAGTTGTGGTTGATAGGTTAATTCCATATGGGATTCGACTCCGAACTTATTAGCCGAAGTATATTTGCGACGACCGCTTGTCTTTTTTATAAGGCATAGTTGGGCGTGATCAGTTCTATACAATAATTTTGTGATGGAACACAACTTACATCTTGTTCATCTTTTGATAATTTCTGGAATTGACCAAGTGGAATGATATTGCCTAGTCCTTATTAGACCACAAAACGAATCATCTGTTTTACTCCAGGCTACTGTTCTAGTAAGTAGGATGTAGGGTAATTATCTGAACCTTTTTCATACTCATTTTCTTCCTTGCAGTTTAGAGGACGCAACTAGGAGCTTCACTTAGACGTCATCAGTAATAGTGTTACAAAACCTAAGAAATTTAGGCACTCGAGTGAGTTGACACGTAGAACTAACACGTGTCGCTGGACATCTGAAACACATGCTTTGAATGATTGTATATAACCACATTATCAAGACAGGAAATTTCCATTCTGACACCAAATGAGAGCAATATGCATGTCCTGTACCTTTCTTTTGTGCCATTGTATCATGCTTTTAAGATAATCTTTGAATGCTTAAATTATTATCTGCTCGACTTTATTATTAGTTGGTGAAACATTTGCAAGCCGAAGTGTAAATATGCAGAGAAGGATAATCTGCAAAATGTAAATTGGGAAAGCAGCAATTACCAATTGTTGCCCGGATATTCAGATGAACTTTCTTGTCAAAGTGGTTGAAAGAGGTTTACGTCATGATCCATCTATAATATGTAAAAGGCATAAATCACCTATTCCACTTGCTTGTTAACTGTAGTAACTTAATCAATTCTGATCATTCATGCACCTTCACAGTATCTTCAAAGCCAATGCAAGAATCATCTCGCTTCATCGCTAAGATGAGCTGATCTAGCATCTCATAAATCACAACAGAACAAGGATGAGACTTGTCAGCAACGTGGAAGCTATGCGTTTCAGTGTTAATGCTAATCCAACTACAACCAGGAAACTTCTTCAGCCCTTTGTCTTTCATCATTGTTCTTACCCGAGCAACAACATCCCATCTATGTGAAGAAGCATATAAATTTGAAAGGGACACATAATTTGAGGGGTTCTCAGGTTCCATCTGAATAAGAAACCTGTATGCTAAATTTTGCACCTCACTATTTCCATGAATTGCAGAGGCATTCACAAGTGCACCCCATATACTAGGACCTGGTTTCACAGGCATAGATTTGATGAAATCCAATGCTCTATCGAACTGGCCTGCTTTACCCAACATATCCACGATACATGCACACATCTCCAAAGTTGGTTCTAAATCATAATCATTTAGAGCAGAATCATATATCCGGATGCCCTCATCGACCAATCCTGACCTAGCACAAGCAGAGAGAACTCCAACAACTGTAATCATATCAGATTTGATCCCATTTTGAAGCATTTTCTCATACAAAATGATAGCACCCCGACCATTCCCATGTGAGGAGTACGCAGAAATCATTGAACTCCACGATATTGTATCCTTAGTAACACAATGATATTCAAACACTCGTCGTGCACAACTCAAAGATCCGGACTTAGAATACATATCGATTAAAGCATTACACAAAGACACTTCATGATTCAATCCTCTCCTAGTTGAAAATGCATGAATCTGTTTTCCACCTTTCGAACGATCAAATGAACAACAAGCAGGTAGGATACTAATAAGCGAAACCTTATTGGGTTCTACTCCTTCCACTTGCATGTCTTTAAAGAGTACCAAAGCTTCATCAAAATTCCCATTCAGCACATAGCCATTGATCATTGCTGTCCAAGCAAAAACATTTCTATGCTTCAACCTATCAAAAATCCGCCTCGCCAATTCAACCCTGAAACTTTTCGAATACATATCAATCAAACAACATCCTAAGTGAACATCAGAACAAACAACGAAATCTGAATCCAATCCACTCTTCACAATATAGCAATGCAGCTCTTTCCCATAGTGCCAGTACTTCTTCACCTCTCCACACAAAGAAAGAAGTGTTGAAACCGTAAATGCATCAAATTTCCAACCTTCAATCTGCATATCCTTCACAAAATCCCATAACTTATCATCGAAAACTCTCTCATTTTCACCCGTATATCCTGAAATTACAACATTAAATGACGAAATATTCCTCTGCGGCATTTCATCAAACACCTTCAAACAATCTTGAAAAACCCCACATTTGCTGTACAAAGACATGAAAGAATTAGCAACAACAGTATCTAAAACAACCCCATTTCTCACACACTTCCCATGAACAATTTTCGCAGAAACAATATCCCCTAATTCACCCAAAATTTTCACTATACCCGAAATGGTAAACTCATCAGGAGTGACTTCACTTCTACACATTTGATTGAAAAGCTTAATACTTTGTCCAAAGAACTTATTTTTAGCATACCCATTAATCAAAATGTTCCAAAGATATAAACTTTTGTGTTCAAAAGTGTCAAAAACAAGCTGAGAGTCAACTGGGTTTTGGCATGCAAAGTATGAGGAGATGAGTTTAGTTGCTATAACAGAATTTTGGTCAAGTCCAAGTTGAATAATTTGGGAGTGTAATTGTTTGGTATATTTGAGAGATTGAGATTCAATTGAAAGCTGAAATAAGTCAATGAAATTAGGAGTTGAAGAAGTGTAAAGACGCTGAGTTTTGGTTGAAAATTTCAAGATTTTGCTTGCTGAGAGGATTATCATTAATATTGAGATTAAAAATCAAAGGGGAATATAGAAAAGTATTTTAAAGATTTTGAAAATACTAATTTACTGTTTCATAGTTTCAATTTGGTTTAGAGAAGGCGCGGGAAGATGATAAACAGAAGTGCATGCACATTCGCACTGAACTATGAGAAATTGATGAGAACTGAGAAAACAGAAATTTGATATGTCGTTCTTTTTCTTTTTCATTTCCCCCCTCTTTTTCTTTTTCATCCCCCCCCCCCCTAATTCTTGACTTTAACAGTTTGATGAACGTCAAATCTTTTTCCTTATTTTTGTTGCATCGGGGGTGTGAATACTCGTGCCGGGGCGGCTCAAGCTAAAGTTTAATATGATGCCTATAGTTTTAAAAGAAAGTTATAAGATATATTTTTATTTGAGTTCTTGTTTATCTGAAAAACGGATATAATTAAATTTATACGTAGTTCTAAGGATACATGGTATAACTTTAGTACGAATCGGAAAAGTAAGTAGAAATATATCGAATATTGACCGTATAAGGAAATGAAATACAAACCAAATTGAATAGAGAATGATTTATAAACAAGCAAGATGAATCGATGTCCCAACTCAAAAAAGGATAATCTCAACTATGTCAATGTAATAATCTTATGAATGTATCAATGTTTTCTCTGGATGTTCATGTGTGTCCGCCTTACAGAAAATAATACTCACTCTTCATATAGTGGAAGAATCATACTTGGATATAATAAAAAATACATAATGGGGATCCCACGATAGATTAGTTGATTAGTTTTTCCTTAATTTCCGTCGAGATTCTGTCCCTAGTGCGGTTACAATGACTCTTTGTCTCTTAGCTCGATCTTGATTGGTCTTGTTATCGGTCGATCTCCCGATCTCGAGCTCGATATTGACTCGGACTCAATATTGACTCGAGCTCGGTATTGGTTGGTCTCTGACTCTTGAGTTCGGTAACACTGCTTCATGTCATAACTCGATATTGACTCGAGCTTGATATTGACTCGATGCTCGGTATTGAATCGAACTCTGTGTCTTGAGCTCGATAACCTGGCTTTATCTCTGATCTCGAAGTTACAATGACGACCCTCGGTTCATCATGTTCCAGTCCACATGAAGGGCAACTCGGATTTGACCGTATACAGATAGTCCCCTCATTTCTCGGAAAGAATGTGGCGAGAAACGATATGATTTTTCAAGCTGCATGACCAGATACACACTGACATCTGCATCGACCCCGACCATGACGTGCGTGATAAATGTCCCGTCGATTCAGTTACCGAGGCATTAAATGTACGTAAGACGATGGCCGGCCACTGCTAGTATTGAACCGTCATCGTCAACTCTATAAATAGATCCTCTCTTCACCATTTTCTACTTTTAAATTTCTAAGCTCCAAATCTACTAAGTTCATCTTCTGTGTTTTTCATTTGCAAATCTGCGATTTTCACTGCAAGACTCTTCTTAGAACACTAAATCTCATCATCTCCCTCTATTTTTAATCTTCAAATCTAAAATGGAAAACACGTCAAAAACTGTTCCTCAAAAAGAAAATGCTTCTTCATCGTGGTTGGTCGGCGATAAAACACCGGTGGAGCCACAACCTGAGGAGTGCGTTCCCGGGGGGTGCGTTCTCACTTCTCATTTTAAGACCGACAAAGCCTCGCCGGTTCCAGGTCGATGCGAGCCAGTATCGAGGTATATGTGCTCAATAACTGAGGGATACCTTAAACATGTATGGAAAGATTGCAACTGGGAGAACAAAGAAGTGATAATCCCAGCTCCCGAAGTAGATATTACAACTCATGTGAAAGGGTTTTTAAGTGTTTACACTTACCCTTTCACGTTGGGCCCCTTCGACCCCGTTGTCATCGATTTTTCCGCCAATACCAAATAACCCTAGGCCAAATCTTCCTTCTTTTTGGCGGATCGTTATTCTGATCCACTTCTTCGTGAACAAAGTCGAGGGGATGCCTTTCACCCTCGACCACCTCATCAGGTTGTATAGCCCCCTCCTTTATTGACGTGGGTTAATAAACTCCAGCGCCAGGCTACCAAAGTGTTGTTCTCGAGCATAGACGAGGACAAGGACCAAGGATGGATGGGCTGGTTCGTTTGAGTGAAGACTTCCGACCTAATCCCGGCCGAGAAGATGACATTTCCCGAGCAATGGAACATGAAGCGTAAGTACAATCCCCCAGTTAGCTCTTATTAATTGTTTTTCTCCTTTGCTTCTTCTCATCGTTATCCTTTTCCGTGATGTAGCGATCGCTTGGATGCCCGGTGCAATTCCCAACCTCAAGAGCTGGGTTCGGGACCTAGCTTCGACCTCTACGTATGCCGAGCGCTCATGGCGCGATCTATCAAAGGGCCGATAGGAGGCCAAAACTCATGGTAAGCCCATTTTCTGCGTTTTTGATAATTTTGCTTGAAGTATCTCTCACTTAATTTCCTTTCATATAAGCCTTGGCAAAGATGATGTCATGAGGCACTTATCTGGTGAGGGGGAGACTTCGATCCTGGCACCGAAACTGGCGAAGGACAGAAAGAGGAAAATAATATCAACCCCCAAGGACCCAAACCTAAGAAGAGGACAGCTCGTAAGCCGAGGAAGAACATCATCCTCCTGACCGAAGACTCCGTTCGGCGTCTAAGGGATGAAGACAAAGGAGAGGAAGAAGACAATTCCGGGCTGGTAGCCCGAGTGAGAATGAGCACCGAGGACCCAAAGGCCACTGAATCGATGAAGGCTGCAGAGATTCCATCTCGAGATGAAGGAGTCTCAGAAACATAATCGGGCGAAGTCCTCGAGCCGTAGAGGATCGAGGATGACTCCCACCATAATGAGCCTACGGCGGGTACGACTGTGGAGGCTGATCTCGAGGCTCGCTGAGATGGAGAGATCGCCCCAAGTGATCCACTTGGGGTAATGGAAATTGGAGGCTCCCCGCTGCTACCCTCGTTTTCTGAGGAGATGATTCAAGAGGCTCGGGTCTTGAAGACCCTCTCCATCGAAGGAGTCTCCCTTCCGTGATTACTTTACTACGGTTGAAGATGCTACTGGCCTAAGCAATTTGGAGGTCTCGAGGAAGGACTTGGGTGAGGCATCGAGCCCTTGTAACAAAGTGCAACAAGCTCTGAATCGGGTAAGCCTTTACTCCTCTTGTTGGTATTACCGTTGTGTTTGTTTTTTTCTCCCTGTCTAACTCCTTTTCTTCTTTTTGCGTATGCCTCAGCGTTTAATCGGGAAGCATTTTCTCGATCTCGAGCTGAGCTTAGTCGGTATGAGGCCGACCTTCGAGGGCTCAAAGAGGAGAGGAATGCCCTTAAACTTCTCTGTGGGTAAAGAGAAGAGGAGATCAAGGACCTCCGAGCCGAGTTGGCCAAGGCTCACCAAGACTAGACCGACCTGACCGAGCAGGTAATGAAAATATTAAAAACTCATAGGCTCGATTCAGGAACGGTGGCTAACATTTCAATCACACAGATGTAGCAGAAGATCGAGATGATCGGGCAGCTCTGTGAGGAGGTCGATATGATAAAGGAGGAGACCTTGTGTTGGAAAGAAGGTATGGATCGCTTCGCTGCAGAAAAAGAGACTGCTTTATCCAAATTGTCATCGGTCGAAAGTCAGCTTCGAGGTGTGAAGGAAAAAAGCTCAATTCAGGCGAAGATGATAGAGGAGCTCGAGGCTCGGTTGGCTTCCGAACTTGCAAAGGCCAAGTCTGAAGCTGCAAAGGCAATGGCCAAGGTAGAGGCGATTGTGGCTGTCTACCGGGCTGATGCTGAAGCCGCTCAAGTACAAGCGAGAAAGACAGCCGGGACTGCTCAATCTCGGGCATATTGGATTGCTAAACTTGCCAAATGCCAATCTTGGAGGGAAACCCTCGAGGAGATCCACACTCGGGGTTTCGATCTTGCCGACGAGATAAAAAAGGCTAGAGAGCATGAAACCGAAGTTGCAGCGATGACGACGATGATGACGAGAAAAAAGCAAGTCCGAGAGCGGGGAGGACTTCGATGGAGGAGAAACTGCCCCCGGAGAAAATCAGGAACCTTAGGATTTTTTATTTTCGATCTTTTATGTAGGGTCCTGATCGGACCATGTAAATATCTTCATATATATAAAGATCTTTTTCCTTTTCTGACTTGCCTTTATTTCATTCTGTGCCTTGTGAAAATTTTGTTTCATTCATGCCTTATGAAAATTTTGTTCATAAGTTCGAGGCTTTAGGCAATTCGATCGAAGTTGGATTAGTCAAGTGAGTACTTGCATGAACTCGGAGTAGGGTGACCCTTAGGGTTTAACTAAGTGAATACTTGCTCAAACGCGAAATGAGATAGCCCTTGGGCTTCGTAGTCAAGTGAGAATAATTTCTCGAACTCGAATTAATGGCAGCCCTTGGGCTCGATAGATAATCCCCGAGTGAGAATGATTACTCGAACTCGAGTTAGGGTATCCCTTAGGCTTTATAGTCGAGTGAGAATTTGCTCAAACTCGAAGTAAGAATAGCCCTTAGGCTTAGTGATCGATCTCGTTGGTTTTTCGGTTGGCAGTCCCCGATTTATGGGGTAATAGTCAGCCCTTAAGCCTGTTTGCATAGTAGATCACGAAATAGAGGAATATTTCTAGGATATAAGATATCGATAAAGAAGAAATTTCTCTTTATAAGTCATTATACATGTGTTCATGTTTTGTGCCAGGGCTCGGGCATGACTCGTTTGACCATTTGGCCCTTAAAATCTTTCCTATCGAGACCTTGTTGCCATGAAGTAACAAAGTAACTTTCTTGCACCGAACTTGATGGACATCGTCGTTAATATATTCGAGGGTAATGCCCCCCAGTATTCGAGGTTGATTGTAAGGAGGTCTCGGATACTGTTGAATTGTTCCAAGTTAGCGCGATCAATGGTTGCCTCATTAAAAACCTTGCCAAAAAATCTATTTGGGAGAAAATCGGTCTATAAGGGAAAAAGAGTGCAATGTGTGCTTTCAGGCCTAAAGGTCCCGAGTCGAATAATCCATCCATGTTTCTGGTCGATCACCTGCGAGGGTTAATTTCAAAATACAAATGAACATGGGATGGTCGTACCTAAGCAATAGTATCGTTTTAGGTGTGATACGTTCCAATTGCTCGGTAGTTGTTTGCCGTTTATCACGCCGAGCTTGTGGAACCCCTTTATGACGATTTCGAGAACCTGATATGGCCCTTTCCAATTCGGCCCAATTTCACTTCATTCGGATTTCGGGTGTTGAGGGTGACTTTTCTCAGTACCAAGTCCCCGATTTTGAAATATTGAAGATTGGTTCTTCGATTGTAGTATCTTTCGATCCGCTATTTTTGGGCAGCCAATCGGACGAGAGAGGCCTCTCGTCTTTCGTCCAATAATTCCAGGCTCATGTTCATAGTCTCGTTATTCGATTCCTTTGTTGCATATCGAAACCTGATGCTAGGTTCTCCAACCTCGACCGAGATCAAAATTTCAGCGCCATAGACTAACGAGAATGGCATTTCTCCGGTACTGGATTTCGATGTTGTGCGATATGCCCATAGGACCTCGGGCAGTATTTCTCTCCATTTTCATTTGGCGCCGGTCAATCTCTTCTTAAAATTCTGGATGATGGTTTTGTTGGTCGATTCGGCTTATCCATTTTCGCTGGGATGGTACGGTGTTGATAGGATTCTTTTGATCTTATGATCCTCGAGAAATTTAGTTACTTTGCTGCCAATGAATTATTTTCCATTTTCACATACAATCTCGGTTGGCACCCCGAATCGACATATGATGTGGTCCCAAATGAATTCTATCACTTCTTTTTCTCTGACTTTCTCGAAAGCATGTGCTTCAACCAATTTAGAAAAATAATCAGTCATTAACAAGATAAATTGAGCTTTACCTGGGCCGATGGGAGAGGGCCGACAATGTTCATCCCCCATTTCATGAAAGGCCATGGAGATAGGGTCGAATGTAGTAGCTCCCCGGGTTGATGAATCATGGGCGCATGTCTTTGGCATTTGTCGCATTTTCGAACGAACTCCTTTGCATCTTTGCTCATATTGGTCCAATAATACCTTGCTCTGATCGCTTTCAAAACCAGCAAATCGGCACCAGAATGGTTTCCACAAGTGCCCTTGTGAATTTCCCATAGTATGTAATCGGTATCTCCTAGTCCCAGACATATTGCCAATGGTCCATCGAAAGTCCTTCTGAATAGCTGACCCCGTTTTGTGCGTGACTTCTTGGGGTGGACTGGACTCGAGTTTGGTCGGTGCCTGGGTTTGGCTCTGCAATTGGGCTATTGCTACTTGTTGAGCTTGCAACATTTCAAAAATCATACGCAAGCGGATTCCGTTTTCCTCAGCGTTTTGGGTAGTTCGAGCTACAAATCGAGTTCCACCATGAATGTTTTTTTCAGCGTCGGAGCGTTGGTTTGCCTCGATGGCCGCATGTGAATTAACGTCTATTGGTTCTTCGACCCGAGCTCCAACGGGATCGACGAGTGGCCTTCCACCCCCGGGGGTTAAGTTGTTGTTCTCATCTTGAAGGCCAACTTCGTTGTCGATAGGTAGGGCCATTAGTCGAGAATTCGTCGTTTTCAACCTGAAATTCAAAGACACTTCCAAGAGAAAGTGTAAAATAGTATGTTTTATAGAGATTTATACCAAATAACCACTATTATTCTTATCCCCACGATGGGCGCCAAACTGTTTACCCGAAAAACGGATAGAGTTGAATTTATATGTAGTTCTAAGGATACGTGGTATAACTTTAGTATGAATCGGAAAAGTAAGTAGAAATATATCGAATATTGACTGTATAAAGGAATGAAATACAAACCAAATTGAATAGAGAATGATTTATAAACAAGCAAGATGAATCGATGTCCTAGCTCAAAAAAGGATAATCTCAACTATGTCAATGTAATAATCCTATAGATGTATCAATGTTTTCTCTGGATGTTCATGTGTGTCTGCCTTATAGAAAATAATACCCACTCTTCATATAGTGAAAGAATCCTACTTTTGATATAGTAAAAAATACATAGTGGGGATCTCATGATAGATTAGTTGATAAGCTTTTCCTTATTTTCCATCGAGATTCTCTCCCTGGTGTGGCTACAATGACTCTTTGTCTCTTAGCTCGATCTTGATCGGTCTTGTTATCGGTCGATCTCCCGATCTCGAGCTCGATATTGACTCGAGCTCGGTATTGGTTGGTCTCTGGTTCTTGAGTTCGGTAAAACTGCTTCATGTCATAGCTCGATATTGACTTGATGCTCGGTATTGAATCGAACTCTGTGTCTTGAGCCCGATAACCTGGCTTTACCTCTGATCTCGAAGTTACAATGATGACCCTCGGTTCATCATGTTCCAATCCCGACTATCCACACGAAGGGCAACTCGGATTTGACCATATACAATTCTATTCTTTTAGCTTTTTGAGATGCAAATTTATTAATTATCTTTTTATAATCGATTTTCTCTAATAGTTTCTTTTCAATTGATAATAGCCGACTCATTTAATCTTTCTTGAGATATTGTTGATCTCATATAAGAGTTTATATAGCAATAGAAGTATAGAACTATTGTAAGATTAAAAATATTGTTGAACACTTGAACTAATCAAATCTAAAAAGAAGAAGATGGGTAATGAAATCTTGGAGAAAGAAGGTGAGTAAGAATATTAAAAAGAAAGATATAAAATATGTAGGGGTTTCTGAAATATGAAGAGATTGGCGAAAAGAAAGATTGACTTGGGCAAATTAAGAAAGGGAGAGTAAAAATTTGGCACGTTACCTACATGGGCGGATTTAGGGGGCGGAAGAGTGCTCACCCGAACCCCCTTCGCCGAAAAATTTTATTATATATATAAGGCAAAATTTATTTTTTTACCTCTATATATTATGTTTTGATTCCCGTTGACACGTTTCAAAAGCATAGTTTAGTGGTCAAGGGGGTTCAAAACCTTTATAAGGTAATGTTCTATTCCCACTAGCTACAACATTTCTAACTTTTTTTTTTTTGAATTCCCTTGACACGTTCCAAAAGCGTAGATTAGTGGTCAAGGGGGTTCAAAACCTTTATAAGGTAATGTTCTATTCCCACTAGCTACAATATTTCTAACCTTTTTTTTTGAATCCTCTTGGCAGTAATCCTGCCTTCGTCACTAGTTACCTAATGAAGGAATAAAAAGTGAAAAATTAAAGCGTTAGGGAAAACTATTCATCTATCCATTTTTAAATAAGTTAAATTATTACTTTATTTATATATCTAAAGAGCTTTCTTTCCATTAATATTAAAAACTTTATTTTTATATTAAAAATACTAAATATTATTTTTTAAATACCTATAAAACATATAATCAATTTTTAAAAATAGGTTCCGAAATTTGGGTACCTAAGCCACAAGCCTTACTACTGAAAACATTAAAGCCGGCACTGTACTCATGTATGTTCTTATGATTGCAGTCGCTTCTGCAAAGAAGCATACACCAATTCCCTACATCTAAAGGTTAGTGAGATGAAACGGTAAGTACTACGTTATAGTTTACTCTTAACGAGTGATCTTGGGTTCCAACCTTGGGAAAAAGTCGCAATCGGCTGGAGCGTTTCACTCTTAAAATAATTTTTTGGTACGAATTCGAATTAATGCATTCATACTCATATCAAAGCAAGCTAATTATATGGTACCACGTGCCATCTTCTAACTAGAAATCCTAAACAAATTCAAAATCTTTTCTCTAGTTGATCAATGCTTTCTTGAAAAAAAATAGTTTGGTTTACTAAATTCTCGCTATGCGCGGGTTCAGAAAAGGATCGGATCACAAGGGTCTATCGTACGCAGTTTTACCCTGCATTTCTTTAAGAGACTATTTTCACGGTTCGAATCCGTTAACTCTTGATAAAATGACAGCAACTTTACCAATTACGTCAAGGCTCCCTTCCCATTTTGAGAAAAAGAAAAGAGTATAATAAGTTCCAAGCAAGCTAATTATATGGTACATTTCCTCAACATGAGCATCACACTAATCACCAGTACTGAGCGTTTTTTGCAGCTCAGATAGCACAAAGTACATAATGTTAAACTAAAGTCGAAAGTCCTAACACGACCTTATAGAGACTTACAAAATTATTTAACCGGAAATCTTCTTTTTTTTTTTTTTGGGCAATACAGTGTATAAAGTATCTTGCGTTCGATCAGGAGGGCCGCTCCTCAAGGTGTGTAATGTAGACAACCTACTGATTCTACGACTCGAACCCGTGACCGTCACATTGAAACAACTTTATCGTTGCTCCAAGGCATGGATATCATGGTCGGATAAACCTTCTTTGGTTCCCCACCGGCAACAAGTTGTAAAGAAGCACTTAGAAAAAGGACTGAAAAGAGTACTAGAAGTTGAAGAAATTTTCTTGAAGATGATTTAATAAAAAGCTGGAGTAGTAGCCATAGTTTGCAGGCAATTAGGAGTAGTAATGGTTTTGTTGTAAGTTGTAGTATTGATGAATTGGCCATAAAAATCATCCAAATTCCATAATCCATCCCACATAATATCTTCATTAGAGGAAGGCTCAGGCACTGATACTGAAGAGCAACTATTGAGCATAGAGTAGAAGAAGCCAACTTGATTTTGTTGATCAACTGTTCTTGGGTACAAAATTGTCATTTCTTGTTTTGCTTGAGGCATAGTTGGGACTTTATTCTCATTCGGATCGAATAACGACATCACTTTTTTTATATCGATTTGATTGTTGATTTGTTGTTGTTGTTGCAGCTGTTGCTGTTGTAGGAAGTGTTGTTTTTTCCAGAGACGAGCTCTTGATTTTTCAGAGTTAGCGCACGAGTTCTTGGTCTTTTTCTTAAAATGTGTCCTCCAATAGTTCTTGATCTCGTTATCAGTTCTCCCTGGCAAGCTTCGAGCAATAGTTGACCATCTGTATTAAGTTTAATGAAGATTATTTTGTCAAATACTAAGCTTAATTAATATGATAAAAAAGAATTTTCAGGATTAATTAAGCAATTAATCACCTGTTGCCCCATTTAGCATGAAGCTCAAGAATGATCCTCTCTTCGTGTGGGGTTATTTGCCCCCTCTTTAGGTCTGGCCTCAAGTAATTTACCCATCTCAACCTACAACTTTTTCCATTTCTTTTCAACCCTACAAAAATCAAATAACCAAAAATAATAAAACCACTTAATCAAAAGAAATAACACTGTTATTTTGCTTCGATTCTCCAAAAATATTTCTTCGCCCGTATCCGATTCTCAAAAAATGCATGTTTCCTAGTAGTTGTTTTTTTTGTTTAGTTTAACCATCCGATATTCCGAACTCACCAACCCAATTAATTCAGATTCGTGCAGTAGAAGTAGTTGTCAATTTGGTAGAAAAAGGAGTTACCTGTAAGCCTAGCAACAGAATTCCACCTGCCTTCACCATGCGACTTGACATATTCAATGAGCAATTTGTCCTCTTCAGCAGTCCAAGGGCCTTTTCTCCAACCTTCTTCTAATATTCCCCAATTTCCCATTTGCTCACTACTCATTATTTCAAAAAGCATTTATATATATATATATATATATATATAGTAAGAGTTAGTAGTATTTTTAGGTAAGCTTCTGCTGCTTTGTGCTGAAAAATTATGTGACATAATCTGCAAGTGTTTGTTGGGTATTTATATATGCAGCCAAAGCTAGGACCCCAATATTCTCACTTCTTTCCATCAGTCAATTCTTATGTCACTATCCTTTCTTCTTTCAAGCTAGACTAGATATGATCTGTATCATACAATTAACTCCTTAAATTACCAAATTGTCCTCGTCTATCTTTCTTTTTAAAAAAATATTATATTTCTTGAAGAATAATATATTGGGGAAAGGATGATAGATCTAGTGAGAAATGAGAATCGAACCTTACACATTTAGCATACAAATTAACAACTAATATATATCATATTTAATGAATTTTTTATGCATATTGTACTAGTAAAATTATTGATTTTGCTGGAGAAAACATCATATTACGCGGTGATGCAGCTAGATGGTGATACGGTTAGAAATGATATCACAATAGCTAGGTGTTTAGTCTTTATAATGAGTTAATTAACGGCTTTTAGAAAAAACATACTTGTATTCATGATGTTACAAAGACATGTAACATTTAGTGTCGCGTTAGAACGTCTGTGTAAATCGAGGTGGAATCTAATGTTTTCACATTATATTGTAATATATGATTTGTTTTGATCTATGATTAATAAGTAATAAGAAGGAAAATAAAACAATTTAATTTTCAGACTTGTCAAAAAAGTTTTCTTTTCTTTTATACTTATGAAGATGAGAAGAATTTGAAAATCGAATGAAAGGAAATAAAAAATAAAAAGAAAGAACAAAAGAATGGTAAAGCCAATGCCCAAAAGACAATATCCAAAAGGGTACTTGAAAGTAAAAAAGAAGATTGCCAAGGGATTGGGTGACATGTTCGCATCTTGATCAAATCACATAAGTATATTTAGTTAATGTTAAATCACAAAAAAGTGAGCCCACACACACAAAAAAAATTAAAAAAGAACAGTAAGTTTCATAGACAAAGGACACGTATAACATAGGTTAATGCATTTGGACAATTAGACACTCAAAAAGTCTTAAAGAAGAAATTTTCTTGTTATTTCTTTATTTAATTAGTCGTTAATCAATAAATTAATTAGGTGGATAATTCTTTAATCTTGAAAGCCACAGGCAAACCTATAAGAAAGAAACAGGTGTTGGATTTGCTTACTTCTTAAGGAGATGGATTCACGGTAATAACCATCTCTATGTTTAATTATAGTTTATTGGATTCCATTTTGGGAATTAGGGTCCATTAAAATACAATTGTTTTTGTAAAAATATCAGGCTAAGATGTCCTTAATACGTCATTAGGGAACAGGTGGTGTTGTTAGTGATGATTTTGCCAGTCCACATTATAAGGTTATTCTTGATATGCACACTGATATTTATAGATTTTGATTTTATTACACGATAGTACGGAGTAATAATTTTGTGGATCAATTATAGTTAATAGCATCATGATATAAAAAATATAGACTAGAATAATCGGCGCTTTTTCTTTTGTCGTCCTCAAACGTTAACGACAACAACAACAATAACAAACTCAGTAGAGTCTTACAAGTGATGTGTACGGGAAGGATATTATATACGCAGACCTTGTCACTACTCTTAGAAGTGAGAGATGTTGTTTCCGATACGCAGAATAAATGTGAAGAAAATTAAAAAAAAAAGAAGAAGGTGAAGGTAAAAAATCAAGGATTAAAAAAAGAAGGAAAAATGTATGGCATTGAAAAATAATTCACAAATTATGCAGTTTACATTAATCCTCAATGAAAGATTTTGCAGTAAAATTTACGTTAAGGGCAAGTCCAAATCAGTACTCTTTTAAGGTGACGAGCAAGAGTCGAAGCAAGGTTAAACTAGAGTCTGTATCTTTGTATTACTTTTTCTCAAACTTAAATACAATATTAATTGGCTTGCAATTTCATAATAAATATTTTCCTATGTTAACGTAATTATAAGAACTAATAATATTGACGGATTATTGTTATTCTATTTCCACTCCGAAATATTCTAACTTTTCCACATAAAATTGTCCTTGTTATTGAAATCCAACTTAGTTAGTGGGCATCCTTAAATGATTAAATACGAAGCAAGTAAATAATGCTTTAAATTGGAAACTATCTTAAATCCTAGCATGAGATCATGATCAGTTTCCCAATTGAAGTTTATAAAAATCTATTTCCCCCCTTTTTTCTCTTTGTGAAATACCTAAAATAAAAAATAGAAAATCTTAGTAATATCTTCTTTAAATTGCTCCAAATTTGCACCATTATCTTTTTACTTTCTATATTTGGCTGAAAAGTTGCTCCAAACCCCTCATTCTCACAGTCACATTAAGAGCATTTTTAAGGCTCAATTATTTAGGAGGTAAACCTCGAACGAACCCTAAATTCTGAAGTTGGTAGGTTTTTAAAAAAAAATAATTTTTAATATTGATTTCATATTCTCTCTTCATACAAGAAGACAACTTGAAACACGTGCTATGCGTCTATTCATCGTTTAGATTTCGTATTTGTTTAGGTTTTGGAAACTAGTTTTTGAATAATAAAAAATTCAGATCTTTTGTTTTTTGCAACAAATTTGGTTTTCTCAAAATCCAACATAAATGTATTAATTTTTTTTTAAAACTGTAGGTTTTCACACTCAAAAAAAAAAAAAATTCTCCAAGAAGGCAAAAGATATTTTGCAGAGATGCAGTTAGAAAATATCCAAATATAATTTATGTTGGAAAGGAAAAGATTTTGCCTTTACGAGAAGAATGCCTTTTTTCAACATGAAAACATGTCGGCCTTACAACTCCTAATTAGCTGAATTTATTATGAAAGCCTTTTTTGAACCAAGTTTTGTAAAGATGAAACAAATCGAATCCAAAAACCACCTTAGAGTTCCTATTATTGAATTTTATAAAAGTTACAAAAAGTAAAAAGAAAAAAAGATTACAACGATCCGTGTAATGTACGGATGAAATGAAAGGAAAAAAATGAGATTTTTTAAATGGGAAGTACACTAGCAACTTTACACTACGCAAAGCATATTGTTATTTATTTATTAAAACAAGATTTAGTGGCTAAACAGTTGTCTAAATGCAATTAAAATAATGAAGGTGGAGATACTTTAATTATTGGCCTTCTCTTCTTACAGTAACCATCTTTTATACCTCTAATTTCCATTTCTTTATTTTTTTTGAAATGTGTCACTTCAAAGTGGATATGGATAAGAAGCTTGGAATTTTATTAAGTACAAATCACTTTTGTTTTGCTCAAGCTGAAGGGAATGTGGGGATATGTCATAAAAGATTGTCCAGAAGCATTAAAATTTCTTTTCTCGTGTGTATAAATGTGGATTAAGTTTAACTTTTATATATTGATAATATTAAAGAATTTTATACAATGAGTAATCGTACATAAAAGTAAAATTAGTAACCTGAAAATTAAATAAAGCAAATTATAATATAATGTGATAATTCGTTACATTGTTAATGATTATAAATTAGTATATCCTATTAGTTTATTTGATATTAACCAAGTCATTGGATTTGCAGAATCTTTAAGTATAAAGCTGGATTTTCTATCCTAGGTTTTTTGTCTCACTTTGATAAGGTTGTTTTTTCTCTATATTTTTGTTTAATAGATAGTATCTGATCTTTGATCATGTTTGTCTCCTTTCATAAGGTAAATTTCTGCAATTTACTTTACTTATCCTTTTTTTTATATGCCAGATTACACTGTTGTCCCTTCAAGTTGCACCCAAGGGCGGAGCTAGGGGGACGGAAGAGGGTTCAATTGAATCTCGTTCATAAAAAATATCACTGTGTATATAAGGTTAACTTATTATTTTTTATGTATATATATTAAATGTTGTATTTTCTTAATTTTTTCGTGTGTTTCTTTTTTTTATTTTTTGAATTTCATTAGTGAAAATCCTGTTTCCGCCACTGCTTGCCTCCACAACCAACTTGTTAAGCACAAAGTGTTTTATGGTAAATGGTGTTATAATATGATATAGTTAGTAAAAAGACTTCTATTTTCTAAGTATTTATTAGTATTCTTTCATCTATCAAATCACGTATAATCTCAAGAAGATATTTCATCGTCAAAGAATCGAGTTAATCTTCGCTATACATATCAAACAAAGATATTTAAAAATATTATATATAATCAAATTAAACTTGTGGCTAAATAGTTGGAAAAGAACACTTATCTGCACCGCAGATTAATTAGCACTTCCACTTGATGAAAACAATAATTTAGAACTCCCACTTGATGAAAAATATAATAATGCAGCACTTCCACTTGCATCCTTGGCACAAATAATGCTCGATTGTCGCATGTTTGTCTTTTTGAATTTTGTATATAAATTGTTGTTGGGATAAACCCTCTGTCGAAATAATATTCACAGTAATAAAAGTGAAATAATAACATAGCACCGAAATACAGTAATTAACAAGAATAAAATAGTGACAACGACACCAAGATTTTTACGTGGAAAACTCTTTTGAATAAGGAAAAAACCACGGCCCTCAGACGAGCAACTGATATCACTATAGCAAGGAATTTTATACTTTGTAGGTCCGATTAAAATACTCCAAAGACAACTACAACACTCAAAAGAAATAACCCTCTTTTGATATTCACACCTCACTAAAATATCTCTCACTCTCTATTTTTCTCACCGACTATTTTCTTATACATTGTGTGTGAAACCTCACTCTTTCTTTTTCTCTTTGTTGGTGTGTAGAAATGAGAGCTGAAACTCTCCTTTTATGGCCGAAGCCTCACTCTCTAAAGCCTACTATATTTGACAATTTGCACACACTTTTTCTTCTTTTTCTTCAATGTTGACAATTCAACAAAGTTGACTACCAAACCAAAGAAATTCAACAAAGTTGGCTACCAAACCAATGTAGAAGTTGGAATTTCTTCGTTTTATTAGGCTTGAATTGGGATATGATCCGTATTTTTAGCATTGTTTG